ATTTTCAACATTAAAACGATCTTAAACATTTTCAGTTTCCTTTCGAAATTCTATAGTTTTATTCCCGAATCAGTGATGTACAAATGGCGAATTGCAGTCATCTCTTTTCTTTCATTATTTTTTATTTTCAAATAGAAAGTTTAAAAGTAAAGAATGATTAGAGTTTGGCATGGGTCGGTCAAACATGTTGAATTTCAAGTTTTGGCCCGTTTTGATCAAGTCTAATTTATAATCACATGGCTCCCTGCTACCCGATAAAAATCTCAATCCAAACCAGTTTGGCAGGTGAGTCCGTGTTTACCACCATTTTCTAGGGATACAGGAACGGTGGTTCCTATCCCAAATCGTGTTGTTCATTCTTGATTTCTTTAGATTTTATCATGGCTTGGCAAAAAACCAGAAAGCACAATGATGACAAGATGAAAGTTTTATAAAGCAAATTAATCGGCCAACGGGCCGAGTAAAAGCTAGCAACGATTGTGAGATGCTCATTTCCCGAAAACCGGCGGGATAGGCGATTTTTTATTCAATTTTCTGGAATTCGGTTTCAATAAAACTTACTCCACCTCATCATATTACCAGAAACAATATTGTTTCACAAGGTAACAGGTACTTGATTTTGGTTCATAAGGTTGATTTTTGATTCGTTGCATCATTCATGTCTCTTTCCTACTAAAATTCACTATTTTTATCACGTGTTTCCCAAAAAAAATACAACAATAAACTAACCCCATTACATTATCAAATTTCATACCTCACCTTCCTCCGGCCAAATGGCCGGGGCCCACGCTAGTCTTTCTATTATGGAAAAGATAACAAAGAAGCCTTCAAACATTGTCTAACTTACCAGATATTTTATAATTCTTTAAAATATTAGTGTTTTAATTTTTTACTAAACACTAATTATTAGTCAAAACTTTTCCACATTATTTTTTAGTACTCAAACTTATTGAATTACTATTAATTAGCCAAATTTTAACTTTTAGCTAGCAGTTTTGCTAGTAATATTGATTTGGGACATGATACTAACTAGGAAGAGACACATGAAGGCCAACATTTCAAGACTTTAGTATTTTAACTAAGAAAAGAGTTACAATATTATTAACGATAACGTAGATGATTAATATTTCGATGCATCACAAAAGATTTGGCTAATTATTAGTAATTCAATAGGTTTAGCTAATAAAAAAAAGGGTTAATATTTTCATATGGCCTGGACTTTTACCAAAATAAACATCCTGGCCAATCTTTTCGATCTATAACATCCTGGCCCGAACTATACACCAAAATAAACAATTTGGCCAAACCCGATGTTTGATCGTTAACTTGGACGGTCAAACGCGTTGACTAACGGTCAACGCACCACGTCACTGCCAAGTCAGAAGATCTGATAAATATTTAATTTTTTCGTTTTTTATTTTTGGTTTAACTAAGTATCAGATGATTTTTTTAATTTATAATAATTTAAAATTAGGGAATGTGTGGAAATTGTGAATTATTTTAAATATTTTATGCTGACTTGGCAGTGACATGGCGCGTTGACTAACGGTCAACTCGTTTGACCGTCCAAGTTAACGGTCAAAAGTCGGATATGGCCAAATTGTTTATTTTGGTGTCTAGTTCGGGCCAGGATGTTATAGATCGAAAAGATTGGCCATGATGTTTATTTTGGTCAAAGTTCAGGCCATACGAAAATATTGACCCTAAAAAAATGTTAGAAAGGTTTGGCTAATAATTAGTGTTTACCCTTAGTTTTTTGCATTTATTATACAACTTGAAGTTATACGTTTAACATTATAGTACAACTTCAGGTTGTACTTGTACCTATGCTCTTCAATATTTATAATACCACCTAAATTTGTACCTTGGATGTTTTATAAAGTTGGTCAATAATACAATACAGATTCGGTCGTCTTTACTTGGCAATACGTTTATAATATTACAGACTACAAAACTCAAAAAGCTAATAAATATTCTATCAGGTGATAGTTCGATTTTATTTTCTCTTACAAATTTATGAGAGTAATTAAGAATGCTTTGTCGAAGATTGCTAATGTCTTTTGCTTTTCTTTGTTGGCATATCGATACTGGTCATCCAACATACTCCGTCGAAGGAAACTACACTCACTGATGGGACTATCTTGGAGATGTTGAGTTTTTTTTTTCCTCGTTAGTGTCGTGTCTTTGCTCCTCAGAACTTCTTCAGAGCTGCCCAAGTAGTGGCTTATTAGTCTGGTTGCATACAGACTAACGTGTTGATTTTAAGCCGGTCCTGTATTCGTGTCGAGTCTTTGTCCCATGCCCTTTGGGCTTGTCTTGGATAAAAAAAAATGTGCTAGCAATGAAATGAGGCAGTGGAGTCACTCATTCGGATAACAACGTTGTTGAAAGAAGGAACGAGACATTTAATGGTGGAGATAGTACTGTGAGTGATGAAAATATTTATATTGTTAATGGTTGAGAGGATAAGTATTGATGGTGGGTTGATGGTAAAGAAACCAAAAGAAAATTGCTATAATGTGTGACAAAGCATAGTGAAATGAAGTGTAATTCGATTAATTTATTTAGTATTCATATTCCTTGCTTTGGTATTGGTTTTAATTTCAATAAGGACTTTCGTAGATGACTCGGTAAAATTATTATAAAACACTACGTTTTATGTAAAATTTTTAGTTTTCAAGTAATTGAATATTTGGTATTATTTTACTGTCACAAATCAAAAAATATATTACTTAGTACAATTAGTAACTTTTATTTATATATTCACGTAAACATGAAAAGAATGAACTTTGAGAGAAAATTGAAATCATCACGAAAAAGAGAAGAATATAAATTCAAAACTTTAGTAGTTATCATTATCAAATTCCAACAAGAGGACAGCTTAAATGAAAGGAAGTCTAAGACAATTTTTGTTATAATTTGTAATGCAAAGTAGTTAAATAAAGTGTGGTTATATAATTTTTGTGGGATTTGACTCCTTTGCATCATTGCATGGTTTAAAATGCTGAAAAAACTTAAATGATATAGCTTCTTTTTCAGTATTTTAGTATTTCAATAATTTATATTCCATATGGTACCAATAAAAGAATATTTTAATTTATACAACTGCTATTGTTGTTTATACCATTGATGAAATATATCCGAATCTAGTGATCGTGGTTATAAATATTCATTTTCTTATAGATTACAAGTTTTACGACCCTGATTCAAAGAAAAATTTTACGAGCCTAAATTTTTAAACCCCTCCTTCAAATTTCTTGCTCCGTCATTGTTCACATAACTCTAGGGTTTTAGATAAGCTACAACATGTACATAGCATTACAGCCTACAAAGTATGAACTGTATTTTACAACAACATCAGTGTTCAATCCTAGACTTCTGCTTACAGTCTATTAGTATGCACTGTTTGTCCCACTAATGTAAGAGGAGACACTACTTTCCCTTAGTTTCTGGTTCTAATATAGTTAAACTAATTATATCTATGATTCATAATAAGATAATCAGAAACTTGGCCAATGCTCATAATCTGTTACTCTCTGAACGTTTCCAGAAATGAGGAGATATCTCTGAAATATTAATTGTAAAAGTGAACGAAGCTGATTTTTAGGGTTTTCGATTTTTTGCAGAAAGAGGAAAGAAAGAAGAATACAGAGCGGAAGGGAAGAAACGAGTGAACAAGGAACAAAGTTCCTTTTGTTTGCTGTCTCTGAATTTCCTTCCCAGATGGGCTTTAATTAGAGACTAAGCCCACAAGAATTTAAAACACAAACTAAAAGCTAAATAAAAGGCCCACAACGAGAATAAACAAAACACATGCTTAAAGGCCCACTCGTTTCCAGCTTTGATGTTTCTACTTTCTAGTTAAGAGAAAGATACAGAGTTCATACTCTGTTCTTTAGTTCATAAACCCAGAAAGCAGAGTAACCAAAGAACGATGACAGAGTTGAGGATAAAATACAGCAGGAAAATAAACAATGGCACAGGAGATTTTTAACGTGGTTCACCCTTGTGCAATGGCTAATTCCACGTCCCAGATCAGTAAGCACTGATTCCAGGAGACTCTATTTGGTTTTCTTTTTATGATCGACAAAGACACAAAACCAACGAAAAAGAACAAGTATCAATGGCAGGAAGATGAAGCCCGGATCTCAGAACCCAGACCCGTAACACCCTCAACGCAGTAAGACCTATTCCCCTACTGGCGTTGAGCCCTTTGTAATCCCAAGCCCTTTACCACTCCCGATTACAAGGTTACCTTCTCAATACACAATTGAGGACTATATATAGATTTGTTGAGACAGAGCCGTTGCACTAGGAAAGGAAAGGATCGATCTTGATGGCATGGATTGCTGAGGCTTTCCTTTTCTGCTCCTTGAAATTACCAACGGGTCTTCTTCAATTTGAATCTGAAATTCTGACTTTAAATCTTCCAACATTAATGAGTCTTCTTCATTACCTGACATGCAAAGATTACACAGGAAATAAACTAATGACTATCGATAATAATAATAGACTAGTTTATGGCACACTTTAAGTAGAATGTCACAAATTCAGACAATCAGACTAAAGAACAATAGCCAAAAGAGAGAAAAAGGTTATGAACCTCAAAATCACGGGGCGCAACATATATTGGAATGTGAGGCTGGACATTGTTTGTCCAATCCCGGAGGTCGTCGAGTCATGGAAAAGAGATTGAAACGATAAAATCTTACTCAGTGACAAATACTTGCTAGCATTTCTATAACAAACGACAAATATCATGCATATCTTAACTTTAATCCCCTGTTCACTTCCCATTTCATTTTCTGTTTTCGGGTTAAAAAATGAAAATCGGAAAACAAATGGACATAAAACGTGTTCACTTGACTATTCCATTTTTTCTGAAAAAACCCAATTATTACAAATGGGAAAACGATTAATACTTGTTTTCCGAAAAGAATAGGACAGGTTATCCCCCCGTTTCCCAGAGAAAAACGTACTAATACACTCAAACTGACCCGCGTTCGATTCACCACAGACACTTTTTTTTCTTTTTACTTCTAGCTCCTAAGCGCTGCCGTTTTTCCCTCCTAAGCAACCCTAGAAGACTACTTCATTCGGCCGCCATCGTCTTCCTCTTCTCCCTCCAGCCTCTCCTCCCACTTCCTTCTATCTCTCGCTCTGCCGCCAACCGCCATACCCCGCCGACGTCATCTTCCTCTCCCTCCATCGTCTTCCTCCTGCTAGAATCAGAAGAGTCCCTTTGAGAGCGGCGAGAGCGAGGCAACCGGCGGCGATTTCGTCAAAATGGTGAGTGCAACCATGGAAGTGGAGGCTCCAGTTCCTGCTCCAGCGCCAGTGACTGGTCCGGTGGAAGTCAAGTTATTTAACCGCTGGAGCTTCGATGATATCCAGGTTCGAATCATTTTCCCCTTCGTTCTCGCCTTTCCTCGAGTCTAGTTGGAATCACACCGTTGCTTTTCATGTCTACGATCTCCGCTGCTGAGATGTGTTAACGCGACTGAGCTCGTAAAGCTGTTAGGATTTAGCATTTTTCTACCATTTGAACCTCTGCATCGAGTAGTTTAGGGAATGGGCAAGAGTTTTGTGCCTATGGATTTGCTTGGAGGTTCAGATTCTGTTCGTAGTCTAATTAGGGTTTGTACGTTTGTTTTTGTGATTTGTGTAGACCAACGACATTTCCTTGTCTGACTATATTAGCATTTTTTCCCCATTTGAACCTCTGCATCGAGTAGTTTAGGGAGTGGGCAAGAGTTTTGTGCCTATGGATTTGTTTGGAGGCTCTGATTCAGTTCGTAGTCTAATTAGGGTTTGCACGTTTGTTTTTTGTGATTTGTGTAGTCCAACGACATCTCCTTGTCGGACTATATCGGCGTCCAAGCGGCCAAGCACGCAACTTTCATCCCGCACACAGCTGGGAGGTACTCGGCCAAGCGTTTCAGGAAGGCCCAATGCCCCATCATTGAGAGGCTGACCAACTCTCTCATGATGCACGGGAGAAACAATGGTAAGAAGCTGATGGCCGTCAGGATTGTGAAGCATGCCATGGAGATCATCCATCTCCTAACTGATCTGAACCCAATCAAAGTCATCGTTGATGCTGTCATCAACAGGTCAGTGAGCTTATAATTTAGAGCGAATCGTAGTGGTTTCTTGATGAGTTTGTTTCTCAGTAGTATTTTGTCGTTTCCAGTGGTCCTCGTGAAGATGCAACTAGAATCGGTTCAGCTGGTGTGGTGAGGCGTCAGGCTGTTGATATTTCTCCGCTCAGGCGTGTCAATCAGGCCTTGTACCTCTTGACCACCGGTGCAAGGGAGTCTGCTTTCCGTAACATCAAGACTATTGCTGAATGCTTGGCTGATGAGCTCATCAATGCTGCAAAGGGATCCTCGAACAGGTTTGTTTGCTTGTCTATTGGTTTTGTGTCGACTGTTCTTGGATGCTCGGTTTGCTGATTATCCCTTCTCTGTTTGCTTTCCAGCTATGCTATCAAAAAGAAGGATGAGATCGAGAGAGTTGCCAAAGCCAATCGTTAAGAGATTTGTGTATGTTTGCTTGTGTCGCTGGGAAATGCCTTGATAATTTTCCTACTGGTCCTTTAAGTCGAAAGGTTTTTTTTATGTCAGTTGTTAGTGAATACCTGGAGTTTGTTTGGATGGTGGATGCTACAGTCATTTAGTTGATACTTTGAGTAATTTCATGCTGTATCCGACTTTGGTTTTTCTGTTTATTACTGCATCCTTATTTCCTTCTCACCTTAGAAGTACGGGAAGTTGATTTGTCTTTGTGTCGCGCTCTTAGATAGAGTCTCGAACGCCATTTTAGGTAGTAGTTAGTCACAATTCGGTCTTTTTCTCGTTGTAATCCCTTGGCAATGTGAATCTCGCTCGTGTGTTTCAGAAGCTGAACTACAGTGAAGTGGATTTTTAAGAACAAAGATTGACATTGACTGCTGTAGTCAAGTTCTTAGCAATGTAAAGTAGACGGTGTTAAGAGCCAAAAAGTTTACCATAGTTAACCTAGGCTTGGATGTTCCATTGGCCAATCTCCCCAACAAAATGACCCAGAAGACCTAAAGCAAAAGACTGATCGATCATTAGCTCCCAGCAGCCACCCTGAAACCTTAAGTCTCTACGCATTGAGCTAATGAGCTTTGCTCTAAGCTCCTTCAGTTCCTGCTGAAGATTACACAAGTCCAAGTCAAAGTAGGCGTTAAGAAGAACAAGCCCCAAAAAGGGGCCTATAACTTGAGATCATCATCAATATCTTGCTAGGACGAAGCAGATCCTGGCCTTGGCAAGCGATGACATGGATTCATTGTATGAAACAAATCATCGCGCATAATGACCACATTAGTGTGGCTTTTACTCATAGTAGGAACAACAGTCAACAAGTGTTTTAATTGGGTTACTAACACTATATTTGGGAAAGGGGGTAAATGGAAGGAGGGAGCAAGTTTGGGGGTAAGTGCATTTTCCAATGTATTTACCCCATTTTGATAATAATGAATAGCGTAGGGGGCTGCAATTAGGGGGCAAATCCACTATTCTCATCAGCCCCAAAATTGGAGTGCAAATGGAAAGAGAAAGAGTGGAAGGATGGATAAAAAATAAAGTTAATATATAATTTGTTATGTTTTTTATATGTATGATTTTGTTCTATGATTGTTATAACTAAAAATGTCATGTAATATTATGCTACAATAATACTTATTATTATTATGATAGTAAGAATAATTATTATAATGATTAAATAATAATTATTATTATAATGATTAAATAATAATAATTATTAATTTTGCATTGATTCCGGGAGACATCATTTGATTTACGATGAGAAATTTTGTCAAATTGGCTTCAACTGTTGACTCGATCAAACAAGTGGGTCAAGATTCATCAAGTCGAATCGAGATATGTTGGTTGGCTCGGATTACCTCATTAAATAGTTAAAATTTACATGTTCGAACATGTTTGACTAAGTTTGACCATATCCAATTTAAAGTTAAACTAGGCACATCAATCTTGTAGGATGGTCATTTATGGTTAAAAGCGATTTGGTAATGTCTGTTTCACTCCTATTTAACCATCATTTCCATTTTCCACAACTCGACTTCCGGGTGGGAGACATGAGCTAGTTATATGTCTTGGCCATGGATTGGGCTTAGAGCATACTCATTCGAGGTTGCTCGACTAATTATGATTTTTATGGACCCAATACTATTATTTATGAATATTTATAACAATCACTACTTGAGCATTATTATTTTATTAAATTATTATTTTATATTTATCAGTATTTTTTTCATATTGATTTATGTGTAAATATTTTGTGATAATCTTTTATAAATTTGATATGTCTATTTTATAATAATATCATTTACTTACTTTTCACTAATTTGCACCCACTACTTTTTCATCCAAACAACAATTTACCCATCAACTTGCACCTCCAGCAATTTAGCCCTCAACTTGGACCCCCTTGAATTTGTACCCCTATTTGCCAAACACAACGTAAAGAATCTTGAATTGGATCTCTCCATTCGGAGTGGATTCAGATTATGGACTTGATCTCCCCTCTATTGTAATAGGCCGAGTTTGTACCTCAATCGTTATGGAATGAAATCTACCAATTGTCAACAAAAAAAATCTCTAATTTTGAGTGCGAGACTCATCAACCTCAGTCATCAACTCGTCAATTTTGTTTAAAATCCCTGGCTAACTCCAATGGAGCCTCTATAAATGGGGGAGCCTCTATATTTGGGGAAAAGTTGGCTCCAATGGAGCCTCTATAAATGGAGGAGTCTCTATATTTGGGGGAGATCTCCAAAAGGATCCCCACATTTGGGGGTGGAAATGGGGGTTCCCCCAAATATAGAGCCTCCCCAAAGCCCGCCACGTGGCGTTTCTTTTTCTTTTTAAGATTTTAAGAGTTAATTGGGATTTAATTAGGGGATTAGTAAGGGGTTTAATTAGATCAATAATTTTCAAGTGTTGTGTTTAAACCCAAATTAGGTCAATCATTTTTTGTCACAAAAATTTGGTCTCAAAATTAAAAAAAATTCTACCCGAAAATTTGTATTTAAAAATGATGACGAACTATACAAAAATTAACATGAATAAATTATATTAAGTATTCGATAATTACATTTTTAAGTAAATGGAAAACTTAAAAAATGGAGATCTCCAAATATAGAGGATGTAGCATTGGAGCAAAATAAGAGAAAATGGGGATGAACCCCAAATTTGGGGGCTTGCAATGGAGTTGGTCTAATAGTGTGTAAGGACCTGCACACCCTTTGATTGGGCGAACAAAGATTAAAAATAGGTATAATAGTTTGATTGCAATGAACCTTGAACATTGAACCTTATTCCTTGTACTTAGCATTGCTACCGTCAAACTACAATTAATAATGTACATTTAGCTTTTTATCTAGAAAAGGATTCGGAAGTTAATGTCAGAGACCTCCAATGGCATCAGCATGAGAATGAGTAATAACAACCGCATCAATTGTTCTTAGCCTGACAGAAATTTGAAGTCTTTATATGTGGGGAAATACCGTACGAAAGTGCATAGACAAGACAATAACGAAGGAAACAGGCAAACAGTCAGCTTCCCTCATTGCAGAAGCATGAGAACTCTAACCAATTTAAATCCTTCTCAGAGCTAAAAATGGTTTATGTGCTGCTAACCCTAGATCCTTTAAGAAATTACTGAAAACATGAGTACAAGACATTGCAGTTAGTTTCAAAATACTGTTATATGCTGAAAGGTGTGTAGACTCTCATCCATCTAATACATGAAAATTCATGGCCATCTCTAATTAATCCAAGAAATCATGATGAAGACTACTCTTCGTTAAAAGTAATTGTTTGTCCCAATAGATAGTTTCCAGAACAACACATGAATTCCTTTATCGGCTTGAGGTAAACCCCACAGCAAAAGCATTTGAAAACTAGTAATACATGCATGTTCATCATCATGCCAGAACATGAGACGAAGCTCCACTTACTTTCCAGCATCTATCAGAATGTTACGTGTATCATCTGGTCCAGGATGACGAATGAGGATGCTTGTGTTCAGCCTCTTATTCTTATTACCAGGTTGGTTCTATTGCTTTTGAACAAACCTAGGAAACCAAGAAGGATTTTCAGATCAAATCGTGATGAATTAAGTGCAAACTTCAAAGATGACATCCAACCCTGCACAGGATATAAACGTAGATCCCTCTGTGTCTGTGCATGGTGCACATAAGATAAACTGATAGCTACTTGAACCGAGAACTATCTTCTACTAGAAAAAGCATTCCCATTCACTAAAACAAAATCCCCCATCTGATGTCCCAAAAAGAGCAAGAATGTGTCTCTTTAATACCAATTCTAACACCATCTGGAACAAAGGCTAGAACGGAAAGAATTGAAGAGAATGTTGCCGTTGGTTACCACAGTCATTCGAGGTTCCTCTACAAGGGGTCAAGGACCTTAAACTAAAGCTTGTCTATAAAAAATGATGCAAGTAGATCCTACTATAACTGCCAGAAGTTGCAGAAGGTTGAACCCAAATGGGAGCAAAACAAGGCAATTGGAAGTCCAACCCAATCGAATGTAACACCGCCCATGCTTCCATTCCAACCTGATTGAATCAAAGTTCCAAATTTTGACTCCATATATTTCATTCAGCTTCAAATTTCCAGCTACCCAATTCAAAACAAGGCATAAACAACAGTGAAACTTTGGACACTGAACGTACTTGACTGAATGCAAGCTCGGAGAATCCTCCTGAAAGGAGAGAAGCCAATTCTTGAGGAGGGAAACGAAGAGCTGCTGCTGAGTGGGATGTGGAGTCTGGAATGCGCGAAATTGGACGACAGAGTGTAAGGTGTCACTCGAACTGAACCCAGAAACTGAACCATTTCACTCCGAGAGCTGGAATCAAAGGTGTTATGTCTTCTTGCCAATGTCGATTACCTTTTGGCGCGCTGTATTGGCTTCCCCCAGCACGGCAGGCAAAGCACAGCTCCTTTTCTGCGATGCCGAAAAATGGAGACGCCTTTTCCTGAGGATCGGTACGGAAACTGGAAAGTGTTTGTTGGGGAAGAAAAGAAGTGAAGACCGGGAATAAGAGGTCCACATAGGAATGGCGATGGGCAGGTCCTGGCGGGTATCTCGATACCCATACCCGCTCCATGGTAGGTCGGGTTCAGGTCGGGTAATTTATTACCGGGCACGGGTCAGGGTAGGTCGATTCAATGGGTATGTAATTTATGTGAAAAACATTAGAAATATTCATTATTTTCATTAAAAGACCAAGAAAGAAACCATAATATGATAAAATCTAGTTAAATTATTTAAGAAATTGAGGTTTTCACTTAATTGTAACTTTATTATAGCTACAATACAATGTAATAAGAGGAAAATTCTAAGTGATTTGACTAAGATTATATGTAATTTAGGCAAGAACAGGTCGAGAATGGGGCGAGTCAGGCCAGGTCGGGTCGATGAGAGTTACACATGCCCGCCCCGCCTCAAAACAGACCAAACAGATCGGGAAAATCGGATCAGGTCAAAATTGTCATCGCTAGGTCCACAAAAGAAAGGAGTTGGTTACAAACAGCGAAATGGGCCTAATCTTCTTTCCAACTCACGGGCCCATTATTTTGGCAAAGCTTTTGCTGGACTACGAACCCAATTTGAGTCCAAGGTTTCTCAACCCAATGCCTCATTTACCAAGTTACGTTGTGACTTACTGACTTGTGATTGTATAACTTTTTTTTTTTCGGTGTAATACATAGAGCTAGTGACGCCCTAACCCTTATGTATTAATCGGTCGAGAGGTTTGAACACCAACAGTATCAAAGTACAGACAATATAGTTCAGCATAGCGTTAGGCGCCTTATCAAACAAATGGACCACATCAACAAAGAGTGACCCAAAGAGGCCATATAGTCGGTTACAAAGTTGCCTTCCCGAAAAACGTGTATGACCTTCACCTCCCGGTCTCGCTACATCGACCTACAGATCT